TTATTAGGGATCTTAGGTGGGTTGAAACATAAATTGTAATGACTTGTAGTTTAGAAATAAATTGTAATCGCCTGAGGAGGTGAGATACAAAGTCTACCACCGGAGCTGTCGTGTTTTGAGATTTTTCTGAGCAGAGTAAGTTTTCGGGATGATGTAGTTAAATGTGTGATGTTATGATGATTTTAAGGATATCCTCTATAAACATAAATTGTAAATTCTTGTAGTTTAGAAATACATTTTAATCGGCTGAGAACTGTCTTGTTTTGAGATTTTTCTGAACAGAGTAAGTTTTTTGGGATGTAGTTAAATGTGTGATGTATGATGATTTTGGTGGTATACTAGTAACTCAGGCAACTTATTGTTAGGGATTTTATCATCTTATCATCTTTCGTAGGTTTAAAATAAATTGTAATTACTTGTAGTGTAGAAATTTAAATTGTAACCACCTGAGCGGGTGAGCTGCAAATTTAGCACCAGGGCCGTCTGGCTGGCATTAATTTAGGTCAGCGGAGAAGGAATGTCTTTCAAGGCATCGTTGAGATTTCGTCTAACAGGGTTTTTAAACAAATTTTATTCTTTCTTTTTTTTTAACCCTTGCCGTCATATTTTGGGGGAAATTAAAAAGAAACTGGGTGGTAAACATCGCCAGTCGGCGAGATGAGGCGGCAAAGTGTTAAAAGGGGAAGAAAAATGAGTACGAGTTCTTTTCTTCAGGAAAATTGATCTTCTGTTTTCTTCTTTTTTTCCCTCAGCCTTCGGCGTCTTCCTCCCGCTGTTCCACTCCAGTGAATCCACGGGCAAACCGCGGTTATGACGGCTCCACCTCCCTTAGAGCTCGCGCTATTCTACAGGCAGTAAGTGTTGGACTCTGAGGGCTACACTCTCTCTCAATAGTTGCATTGTTGTCATTTTATTTTTGACAATTGTTACGTTTTAAAGTCTTATGAATTTTCATGCCGCTTTCGCTATAAGTGAGTATTACAGTCTTATGTGCTCTTGATGAAAACTTATGTGGAAACACTTGTGTGCAGAGCATAAAAGCTTTTGTTCAGGTGTATCTTTTATTTTGAGAGAACCGCAATATAATGATCTGAATTTCTGATGCAAATGTTGTAGTAAACCTTTCAGCTCAAGCGGACATTTATTTGGAAAGTGTTGTTAAAATATTTTGGGTACGTGGGGTTTTTTTGTCTCCTGAAAGATAAACTCTTCCCTAGTTTGTTGCTTAATGATTAACAATGCCATTGGTTTATGAAAGCCAGTAGTTGATTGACTTTGAAGAAAGGTTGAAGGAGGTGGGGATTACTGAGATTGGAAAAAGCGGGAAAACTTCCAGAAGAAGCTTGGGTGGTTGGCGAGTGCTCTGGTGTGGTCTGCTTCTTCTTTCCTATGAAACATCTATCGTCCTTATCTCCCCTTCTTCTTTTTTGTGTATGTTACTCTCTTGTGACACCTCTAATCTTCTGGCGCTCATATGACCTTATACAGTTGCGAACACCGTAAAACATCTACTTAACCTTTTAAAAAAATGTGTTGGGGGATAGTATTTGTCTGTAAAGCGGGCTGTTTTTAAAAAATCGTTTGTGCTGTATTCATCAGGCTGAATCCAAAGAAGCGTCTCCGATGAGAGACGTGTCAAGGTCGGGGTCGGAGGCCCCTCCGGACCTTTCTACCGAGGCAGCAGAGTCGGCCGGCCAGAACGGCAGACACAAACAGCAAAGCGCTAAGAAGCGAAAGCGCTCTAATTTCTACGGGGGCAAACGCAGGCGTTTGAAGCTACCCGTCGCCACCACGGCGAAAAATTCCCTTCTGTCCAACGCCGAGGAGGCAGACAGCTCTACATGTGATGCAGCAGAAGAAGAGGGAGGTGCGGACGGTGCCAAGAAAAATGAGAAGGCCCCGGACTCGAGTAAAGATGGCAAAGTCGGCGAGGTTCGGGAAAACGGGCTGCCCCCTTCAGAAGGGGAGAGAGATCGTGACTCTGTAAAAAACGGCGCTCCTAACTGTGATAAATCCACGCCACGGCAAACTAGCGGCACATCATCTCCTGCCACACCATCCGAGAATAACCACCAGAAATGCCATAATAATAATTCTAGCGACACACAGGAGAACAGCGGTTCACCGCAAGGCCCAGTACAGCAGAATTCAAAGTCACCTCCACCACCCTCAGGAAATAACATGAAGTGCTCCGATGCAGATGTCTCCATGGACACGAGTGACTCTTCTTCAACAGTCAAATCCAGAAGTTGTGATAATTCCATGAGTAATTCAAATACGTCACAGCTCGAAACAAGTGCAATTGGAATGGACAGCGGTTATTCAGAACTTGTCAAAAGTGAATCCGAGGTGAAAGAGGAAGTCTGCGATTCGAGCTCGCCCCCGCCGGCGTCCCGGTCTCCTCTCGTGAAGCACGAGGACAGCGTCAAAGTCGAAGCCAGTAAGTGCAATGGGAGTTCCAGCTGTCCTTCCAGTGATAAGTGTGAGGATGTTAAGGTGAAGCAAGAGGCTCGCGATTCTGAATGTAACGGTGAAACGGATGTGAAACCGTCGGATGGAAAGGACAAAGTGGAGAGTTCGTCGACCGCAAAGTTGGAGAAGGTGATGAAGGAGCTTGACAACGTGAAGACGGAAGACTGCTGCGGAGGGAAAGAGGTCAAAGAGGAGGCCGAAGCCGGGGCTTCCTCGTCGGACGTCAAAGTAAAAATGGAGCAGGCAGAAGAGAGTGAAGAGAAAGAAGCGATGGAAGAGGAGGAAGAAAGCGACGAGGAGGAGGAGGTATGTGCGGACAGTCTTTTGATGTTTTATGCTTAGGATTATGAGCTCAATGTCTGTTGTTTAAATCAGTTTGTTCTATATTCCACTGACTGTTGAGTAATTTGATTTCGTATCAACTTGTTTTTGTCCTTGCTTTGCTGCTCACCTGTTGGAAATTAGTGATTGAAAAACTTTTCCTTTCGCTACTTAAATTACTTGGCTAAATAAAATACACAGATTCTGCAATTTAGTAAATTCAACAGTTATTATTTTTTTAATTAAGAAAGAAAAGTTCCTCCATACTGACTTGTAACCTTTCTCAGTTTCTTCTTGATGAATGTTACTCTACAGGAGATCATGCCGGAAGTTTGGTGTGTGGGTGGTTTGCGGGTGTTCTGGTGTGGTCTGCTCCTTCTTTCCTATCAAACATCTATCTTCTCTATCTCCCCTCCTTCTTTCTTTTTTGTGTTTGTTACTCACTTGTAATACTTCTAATCTTCGGCACTTATATTATGACCATATTATTGTTTTGCAAGTGCCGTAAAACTGTTACTAAAACTAAAAGAAGTTTGATGTGAACTTTAGTTTAGTAGATTTTGGTGTCCAAGTTGTGTTGTTGTGCTTCGGTATGTGAGGAAATGTTGGTTTTGTTTCATTCGATTTTGAGTGTGTGGTTGGTGGATGCACTGGTGTGGTTTGCTCCTTCTTTCCCATCAAACCTCTGTCGTCCTTATCTCCCCTCTTTTTTTTTGTTGTGTTTGTTACTCCCTTGTAACACCTCTAATCTTCAGCACTTATTTGACCTTATTGTGTTGCAAGTGCCATAAATCATAAAACACTTACTAAAACAAAATTATCTCTCCCCTTTCTTTTTTGTGTTTGTTGTTCTCTTATAACACCTCTAATCTTTGGCACTTATATGACCTAATTGTGTTACAAGTGCTGTAAAGCTCTTACTAAAGCAATTTTGAATTTGATTGCGTATAACGTGTTTAAAAAAAAATTTTTCATAATGTTTTTCACAGATACCTGAATTGGGCTCCATTGAGCTTGTGGCGGAGAGCATGGAAGAAATCAAAGCTCTGATGCATAAACTGTCGAATCCTGAGCCAATCAGGCGTGGGAAGAGGGTGAGTGGGTCACTCGTGTTGTGTCGCAACATGTCTTTTTATGGGAGTCTTTCCAGTGTTGACATTTTCATGCGTATGGGTGGTTGGCGGGTGCTCTGGTGTGGTTTGCTTCTTCTTTCCTATCAAACATCTATCGTCCCTATCTCCCCTCCTTCTTTTTTATGTTTGTTACTCTCTTGTAACACCTCTAATCTTCGGCTCTTATATGACCTTATTATGTTGCAAGTGCCGTAAAACACTTACTAAAACGAAACTGTGAAACCTTTACTAAAACTAAACTATAAACCTTACCGTAACAAAGAATAAGTTGTGTAACGATGCGGTGTCTGTGCACAGGTGTACCCGGGAACAATCAAGCCCTGCGAGGTGGAGCTGTTGGACAACGTGAGTCGGTTCCACGAGGAGCTGGTCAAGTACGAGCGCAGTCTGTTCAACGCTCGCGTGCAGGCCCAGGTCAGGCTACGCAAGGATGTCGAGACCTACGTCGAGCCCAAGATCGAGGTATGTAAATTAAACGTAATGTCGGTCTCCCGATAGGATTGAGCCAAATGGTTGAGGCTCTTGGAAATTTTGATAAAACGACCACAGGTTCATGAATGTCCAGTGGGTGGTTGACGTGTGCTCTGGTGTGGTTTGCTTCTTCTTTCCTATCAAACATCTGTAGTCTTAATCCCCCCCTCCTTTTTTTGTGTGTTTGTTACTCACTTGTAACATCTCTGATCTTTGGCGCTTGTATGACCTTATTGTGTTGCAAGTGCCGCAAAACATTTACTAAAAAGTAGTGGTAATATTGAGTAGTATTTTGTCTTCGAATGGATGCCAATTATTGAAAACTTTTGTACTCTGATGGAAAGTCAAGCCTGCAAGGCCATGGAGTCTAAAGAGGGACTGGAAACACTTCTATGTTACTGAAAAACAAGATCTGTAATTAAAGTTTTTGTATGAATTCTTTCTTCTCTAAACAGGAAGCAAAAGCTTGGGACAGTGAACATTCTCTGAGCTCGAAAGACTCGAGTGATGACGAAGATTCCGACACACAAGAGCCCCCTAGCAAAGCGGAGCCAGTGGAGCCAGCAGAAAGCACCAGGAAGTCGAAGAGGACGAAAGCGAAAGCGTCTGTGGCGGCCACAGCGGCACTGCTCACGTCGGCTGCGACCAAACTCTCCTCAATCACCGGAGAAGGAACCGAGGACTCTAGCGACAGTTACGAGTTGGACATCAGCTCGCGAGGTCGGCTCAGAAAACGCAGGATTATCCCTAATAACACGGAGGACACAGGCCTGAAGAAGAGGAAGAATAATCTTCTGAACCAGGAGGGTTTATTGCCGTCCTCCTCCTCCTCCCCCTCCTCCTCCTCCGCGCTGCCTTCGTCTACCGTTGACTCTGCGCCGCCGGCGTCTTCACCCCCGCTAGTGTTGTCGTCATCTTCGCCGTCGGCCGGGACTGCGGTGGTCACGCTGCCCTCTGTGATCCAGCGCCAGCCCGGCAAGCCCTGGCCCTCGCACATCATCTCCATGCTCCAGACCAGCACGGCCAACCCGGCCATCAAGGCCCAGCTGTTGTCCAGCCAGGCGCCACGGCCCGCCAGTCAGGTGGTGCACCTGGTTGCCCCGTCGTCGGACGGCACCATGAGGGCGCTGCGGGTGGCCGGCAAGCCCAACATGATCATTTCCCCGCAGAGTCTGGCCAACGTCCGCTTCGTGTCCAGCACAGGTGTGGTCAGCGTCCCGCGCAGCAGGGTGGTCAGCTCGTCCTCGGCCCAGTCCTCACACCCGGTCATACAGCAGCTGCTCCTCAACCAGGGCCGCGCCCAGACCCCTCTGCAGTCCCACAGCACAGCGGCGGTAGGTGGTCAAACGTCCCTGGCTACGGGACGCAGTCTGATCTCGGCGCCCGTCTCCCACACCCTGGCGGGAATTTCCGGTGGCGGCGGTGCCGGCGGAAGCATCACTCTGCAGCCTCAGCCCGGCGGTGCGAAAACAGCGCGGGTGATGACCACTACCTCTGTCCCCGGTACGACGGCGCCCCCTCTGGCCAGTGCAGTGGTGGTCACTCAGGTGTCCAGTTCCATCATGTCGCAGGGCGGCAAGCAAGTGCTGGACCTGGGCAGTCTGTCCGTCTCCCAGATACAGCAGCTGGTCAAGAATCAGGTATGATGGTCGTCTTACATTGTAATAAGATCTAATAGATAATACTTTATTTTCTCTGTGGCTATAATGGCATCACTCCACCCCCACTCTTATATTGTAATAAGATCAAATAAATAATACTTTATTTTCTCTGTGGCTATAATGACACCACCCCCCCCCCCCCCCACACCCTTATAATGTAATAAGATCAAATAAAAAATACTTTATTTTCTCTGTGGCTATAATGGCACCACTCCACCCCCACTCTTATATTGTAATAAGATCAAATAGATAAATAGATAATACTTTATTTTCTGTGTAGATTCCGTATTCCCCTACCCTCTCCAGCTGTTTTTTAATGTATTATATGTGGTCTACTAAAACTAAGCTTTTATGTGTATGTGGTTCCCTGTAACACAAGATTGTTGTATTATCTCTGCACAGGCCATACAGATCAACACCGGTGCCGGCCAGCCCACCACCTTACTCTTAACCACCGGCCTACAGCAGTTACGGGCAGCAAGCAAAGGGAATGTCCAGACAGTTCAACCCAACATGCCTCAAATCCGGCCCGTTGCCCCTCCGATGCAGGGCATCAAGATCAAAGCCAGCGATGGGAACGCCTCCTCCTTACTTGCACTCTTCAACAATGGAGGAGGAGAAAAAGCTCAGAATCCAGTGGCGGCGTCGGCACAGCCCCAGATCTTGCTGAACAACAAACTGAACCCGTTGCTGACCATATCGCGGCAGGTGGCGCCGCAGGCTGCCGGGATGATTCGCAGCTCGACCGGCCTGTTTCAGACAGGGGGTGATCAGGTGAGTTGTGTTTGGCGGCCTCTAGTGGTTCAGCTCTTGGACTTGCCACCATAAAGTCGTGGGTTTGAATCCCTGTCAGGAGCTGGAAGTTGAATTCTTGGGGAAGGCTCTTTCACACTGGGATGTAAATCTTCCAGCTTCTTCTGTTTTTTCCGGCTGACTTGCCATTGGGCCCCAGCTTTTATCAAAAGTCTATTATAAGCAATACATATTATTTATACTAAATAGAGATTATTTGTTGTAATAGATGGAAAGAAACAAATATAATTTAGTCTCACTGTATTCTTATTTCAGTCGGTGCACATGCGCAGTAAATTTCCCGCCTTTTTTTTTTTTCAAAACCTGTTTACATCCCTGTACACAAATTTTGCTCACTTCAGCCTGGAGAGTAGGTACCTGGTTCTAGACAGAGAAAGATTTTGTCAGTTTGTTAAGTGTTTTGGGTGGGTGCAGTCCCACAGCTTGCACTGTATGTTTCCTGGGAAGCTGAGATTGTTTCTGAGTGTGCTGGGGTAATAATGGTTGTCTGAGATTGCTTCTGAGTGTGCTGGGGTAATAATGGTTGTCTGAGATTGCTTCTGAGTGTGCTGGGGTAATAATGGTTGTCTGAGATTGCTTCTGAGTGTGCTGGGGTAATAATGGTTGTGAAGCGCAAAGGGCATCATGTTGAAGAGTGTGGACGGATGTGTGCAATATTAATGTAATTATTATTTATTAATGTTTTAGAGCAGGATGGAATATATATGTGTGCACATAACATTATGATTTCTGCTCGCTGTATTCTACTGCTTGCAGTGTTCTTTTTACCTATCAAGCAGATTAGCACATACAGAGTTGGCCCTGAAGGATCCCGATTTTTAAATTAGAAAAAAAAAAAAGTGTAATCTGTAGCTGTCTTTATATATGGTCGCTTTTAGGCACAAGGCGGCTATCCCGATAAATGCTGTTTTTGAGAAAATCAAAGTTAAAGTTTTTGGATCCTTATACAGTCTCTTTAAAAAACAAGGAAAGTTTTCTCCATGACCAAAGAAAATATACACGCCAATGACTCTAAACTTCTCCTATAGGTTGGGCAATGCCCACTTTTGGTGTAGGTCAAGATTTCTGGAAACCCCTGAAATCTGGGTTAGCCCGCTTGTCCTTAAAAGCGACCAAGCACTGAGTGGCTTTTCCTCATGTTTGGTTGAAGCTCTCAGGAATGCTGTAGTAAATACTGTCAAAATTGTCCCCGGCAGCCATCCATTGTCAATGAGAGAAGTGATTTTCTTGTGCAGGTGGGTGTCATGGACTGAGTCGTGAGAACTATGTGTCACAACATGGTGGAATCAGGCTCTCGTCACTTTTTGGGGCATTTCGGATTATTAGTATCATCTTAAAGCCTGTTCGTTTGTCTTGCTTTTAGTGAAAAGAATATCCAGCTATGTTGTATGTAAGTCTAAATATTTGCGATTGAAGGAGGTCAGAGTCGCCTGGTTTCAGAGGTGAAATTAGTGAGAAAATAAGTCACCAAAGTTTGGTAATTTCCCTAGTTGAGAGTCCTTGGAAACTGAAAATTTACATTTTATGTGCCTTTAATCGATGTTTTTCAGCAAAATCCACACACAAATGTGTTTTTACAAGGCTATAAAAGGTGTTGAGCCAAAAAAAGACAATTACAAAAAATATTGCCCGTCAGCCAAAAAATGCCGATTTCTTTTGATTTCTTAATTTTGACGAGCGCCTGTTTTCACCATGATGCCCCACTTATAAAGAACGCAAGGAGAGAAGTTGTTGGTTATTTTGAGGGAGGCATTGCGCTGCCGAGAGCGAAATGCTCGCAGCTAAAGGGATTTGAAAACAACAACAACAACATGTTTTTCTTTTTGTTTGTGTATATTTATTATTATTATTATATATCTGTCTCTGTCTCTCCCTCTTTCTCTCTCGGCCTCCTTCCCTCTCGCACTCTCTCTCCCTTTTCCCCCTCCCCTCCCTCCCTTTCTCTCCGTCTCTCTGTCTCTCTCTGTCTGCCTGTCTGATTCTTGAACAGGTGGTGTTACAGAAGGTTCAACTGTGTGGGTTTTTTTTCTTCTCCTTCCCAGGCGTCTCTCCTGCAAAGTGGCATGACGCGTCCAGTGAGACCAGGAGCTCTTCAAGGAGTTACAGTACGCGCTGTAGCAGGAAGTGGTGGTGTGGTGGCTCAGAATCTCGGCGGCACCCTTGGCACAGCCACCGTGCGAATGTCTGGCGCCGGTCCCGGCTCTCAGCCGCTGGTCCGCAGCGTCACCGTCCCCATGAACAGCAACAACAACGGCAGCGGTGGTGGTGTCGTCGTCGGCCATCATCAGTTGGGGGCGGCCCCGCGCATCATCAGCTCCCTCCCTCCCAGCGCGACCATCAGGACATCTTTGGGGAACCTGGCGGTCGTCTCTCAGTCCTCCGCCAGAGTCGTGGCCCCCGTCTCCATCGCGCCCGCCAACTCCTCTTCTTCCGGCGGGCAGCAGCCCCCAAATGTTGCGGAGAAGCAGAAAGCCAAGATCATCACCGTTCCTCTGGCCAACCTCTCTCCCATCAAGAAAAAGTACGCCAACAACGTCACGGTGAAAGCGCTGCTGGAGAACAGGAGCTCCACCAAAAAACCGACGGAGGAAGGAATGGAAAATCTAAACCCAGCCGGTATTTCCCAGTCACCCACCTCCCCCGACGCGCCCACAGGGAGCGACAAGGACAATAACAACACAATGACTGCGGCCTTCGCTTCCTCCTCTTCAGGGATATCCGCAGCGGAGATCAGCGGGAGCGAAGGTGGCTCATCTTTGAGTGAAATGCTCGAGTCGAAAGCTGCGTCGGAAATGTCTGTTGTGAATGAGAGTAATTTTGCAGCAGCAAATGCAGTGGTGGATGAAAATGGACATGGGAATTCAGGAGGGTCATCTATAGATGATGCCGAGTTGACTTCTCCCACTGCTATGAAGGTTTCCGACGAGGAAGGAAGTGTTTTTTCCGACGGTTCGGTGGCTCCCCCTGGTGCTGCCGCCACTGCCTCTCTCATGGCTTCGGGAGTCATGAACTCATCAGTGAGTAGCAGCTCTGCATGCGGCAATATTCCTCTCCGCGAGCCCTTGTCGGTGGACACGGCCATCCAGCCTCTACTGGCCTCTTCGGTGCAGGTGACCCTGCCCACTGTCAACATCAAGGTGCCCTCGCCCAACACCCTCCCCTCTCTGATGCACAACAAGAACAGCACCACCATTGTACAGTCGACCAAGGTGCCCATCCCCGCACCCACGCGGGAAGAGCATGGGGGAAGCCCACTGTCCACGCACGCCCCTGTCAGCCTCATCGCGCCGTCGCCTTCGTCGTCCATCGTGTCCCATATCAGCATGCCCCAGAATAGTAACGGCAACCTCGTTGTCGCGGCGGCCGCGGGCCACACGGGCGTGGTGGTGCCGTCTCCTGTAGCGTCGGAGGTCAAAGTCATGAACATGAATCCCGGCCGTGTGATCAGCAGCGTGGTGCAGCCCGTGGCAGGAACTGCTCTTCCTCCTCCCGGGGGAGCCCCCGTGGCTCGGAACGTCATGCTCAAGGTCATGCCCCAGAGCGGAGGCTCTGGTCAGTTTGTGCAGGGCTTTATGACCTCGAAAGGTTTCCTCATCCCCCAGCCAAATCTGGTGCAGGCGCAACAGCAGCAGCAACAACAGCAAAACAGCGGAGTGATCTTAGCTTCTGTGTCTCAAGCTGGTGGGCCTTCTGCACAGCTGCAAATAAACTCGGCGTCTTTAGCTGGAAACAGCGCTGTACAACAACAACAGCAGCAGCAGCAGCAGCACACCGTGCTCAATGCAGCCGCAGGCACTCAGACACAGCAAGCTGTTGTTTTAGCGCAGCAGCAACAGCATCAGCAGCAGCAACAGCAAAATATCGTTTTGGCAGGACTCCAGAACATGGGTACCTCGGCCTCGGTCAGGGTGTCTCCCATGGCCGGCCAGAACACGAACGGTACCGGTGCGGTGAAACTCATGTTTGTCAACCCAGGCGGGGCTGCCGCGGCCAAAGCGGGAAACGTTTTACCGACGGTCAACATACAGTCGGCCGCCGCCGTCGGAGCCCAGCTTACCACGAGCACCCCAGCGGCAGAGCTGGTCAAGCAGATCGCCAACAACACCCAGCAGGCTTCTCAGCCCGGTCTGAACAAGTCGCCCGTGGCGGGGGGCGGGCAGATCAACAGCAGGCTTTTGCCCACCATGCAGCTGGTGGGTCGAGGGATGGTGAAGAACGGAGGGCTCTCCGGGCACACCGGCCTCGGCCTGACCAATCAGAACACTTCCGTGAACGCGGCCAACGTGGTCTCACCCCAGCTGGCGGCGCAGTTGCTGGCTCTGCAGCAGGGCAACAAGACGGTGCAGCTGCAGCAGTTACAGCAGCAACAACAGCAGCAGCAGCAGCAACAAGCGACGGGCAGCATTGTTTTGACGGCGAAACCGGGGGCGAACCAGGCCGGCACTTTGCAGGGACAGAACAAGCCCAACGTGGTGACCCTGCAGCTCCAGCAGTTTGGCCAGGTTCTTGGTAACGTCGGGGGCGTGACTCAATTGCAGATGGGTGGGGCTGGTGACGGCCAACAGCAACAACAACAACAGCAGCAACAGCAACAAGTGGCCACCCTACAGAAACAGCAGCAGCAGCATCAGCAAGCCGGACAGCCGACAGCCAAAGTGGTGCAGCAGGGTCAGATCGTCCAGCTGGCCCTCAACCCACAGTCCAGCCAGGTGGCCCCTCTCATCGGCATCAGCCAACAGCAGCCGGCGCAGACGGTTCTGACCACCGGCCCACAGGCCACCCCTCAGGCCATCCTGGGCCAGTCGGGACCTCGGCTCATCCAGCTAGCCGGCCAGCTCAGCCCCCAGCTCCAAGGTTTGCCCAACACGGGGCAGATCCGAACCCCGGGCAGCGTGATCCTGCAGCCCCAATCTTCCATTCTGCAAACCTCCACCATCCTCCGACCTCCGCACCAACATCAACAGCAGCAGCAGCAGGCGTCTGTTCTCCAGACTCAGGTTGGACTCTCAGCTCAGACGGCTGCCATGGCGACAAAACCAGCTCTTCCAGGGGGAACAATCCTTCAAGGCGCGGCCAGACCGCCGCATCAAGGTGCCAATCAGGCGGGAGTGGTGTCTCCATCGGATCAGGCGTCGGCACTTCTTAAATCAGCCGCCATGTCTATGGTGTCCAGCAATGTGACGCAGTCGCAGATTCAGTTTGTGCTCAAGCCGAATTTCGCGGCCGCCTCTGGTGCCAGTAATGTGGCCTCTGTCACCAGCTCTCGCGTGCAGCCCTTGCAGAAACTGAACCCCACGCTTGTGTCTCCGGTGAAAGCCGGGACCACCACCCAGTTAATGAGACTGGCGGCCAATCAGCAGCAGATGGCTCTAGCTCCGCCCAACCAGAATCTAGCGAAGGTTCCGTCTATGTCCATCGCCAACTCGAACTATGTTTTGACGAACCCCGGTAGCTCCGCTGTGTCGGTGGAGAATCCCTCCGGCTCTCAGGTGATCATTCCCAACGCTGCTACAGGTCAAGTTCTACTGTCTCCGATAAAATTCTCTCCGCAAAACGTTCGGGCTAACATCATAAGTCCCATCAAGTTTGTGAACCCAGTGTCCTCGTTAGCAGCATCCGGTCCCATCGCTGTACAGCCATCCAGTCAACAAGTGATGAACACGCTGCAAGGAGGACAGCTCACTAGCCCCAATCAGCTCACCAACCAGATGAAACCGACGGTCATCTACGCTGGTCAGCCTGGCTCCAGCGGACAGGATTCACACCCCGACGGCGGTAAAGTGGCTCAAATTCTCCTCAGTCAGCCTCTGGCGAGTGTGGGTGTCAAAGCCCAGCAGGTGGTACAGCCAGGGCAGCAGGTGTCGCTACCGGTGTCCAGTGGCTCAGGGCCGGTCACCGACTGGGTCAAGAAGCAGCCGCTGGTGTACAAGATCGGAGAGCCGTATCTTTCGTCCGGTGTCAAACTCCCTGCTCCCGGCGGACAGTCCAGCGGTGTGCCTCCGTCAATGTCACCCGATGCCGCAAGCCACGCAGACGTCAAACTGTTGGTGCCCCCAGCTGCCATCGAAGCTTCGGACATCATGGCGAAACAGGAAGCCAAAACGCTGGTCCCCTCAGCGGCTCAGAACTCGGTGAATCAGCCAGGACTTGGTGCGGGAAGCGCGCAGAAGCCCGCGCCGACTGCGACCCCTCAGCAAAATTCCAGCACTGTGAACGGCGTGCACAATAACAATGCCCAGTTCTCTTTCTCCCTGACCGGGCCGAGCGTTGTCAATTCGGTGATGAAGCAGAATTCTTCCAAGAGCGTGGCCGCCGTGAACGGGCAGCTCGCGGGTGGAGGCGGCAGCGGTTCCGGTGCACAGGCCAATGGTGTACCGTCGTCGTCGTCGTCGGACAAGGTGGGCGCTCGCCGGAACACGTTCAGTGCCGGCCAGGGTGTGTCCCCTCCTAAAGGCAACGGAGTACAGCGGCACCTGTCTGTGGACGATGGGTCTCTGACTTCAGAGCAGATGGACGAAAAAGAGGCAGCCTTAAATTTGCTCACATTTGCAAACCAGAGCATATGAGCGGGTAGCTCACAGACATAATTGACTCTCTTCCCTCCCTCCTTTCTTTCTGTCTGTCTGTCTCTCTTTATTTCTTTTCTATACAGCAGTATCAGCTTTTTCGTGTACCTGACAGAGCAGTTACCTCTGCGACATCGTTTCTTTGATTGAATTATATGACTGTTAAATTACAGAGGTAGCGTGGAGAAGTGTGTGTGTGCAGAAACAGCAAAAGTGATTTTTGTTCCTGTCCTGTAAAAAAATTGTGTGATTTACAGGGCTTTGTTGGAAATGTGCCGTTGAGAAGTTCTGCCAGATTATTGTGATGTGTAGATGGCTTGTTGTTATACATTCTCAGTTTGTGTGCCCTTCCGTCTGTGCTTTGAATAAGGTTGATGCTGTTTGAAATTGGATAATCAGAAAATTTTGATTTGGGAGGAAGAAGGTTACTGGTGTACAGACTGACACCAACGAGACTTTAAAGAAGTGTTCGCTGCTTCCTGAACTACTGATGATGCAGCGCTTGTTCGCTGAGAAAATTTGCTTTGATAAGTCCCCCAATATGTTAAAAAATTTTTCATCAAATTTTTGTTGTTGAAATCTTTGGCCTTCCTGATACTTTTGTGCTGCTTACTGATGTCCATGTCCATGTCCCGCGGTGAGACTCGGTTGTGAGTAGCTTTGTCGACTGAGGGTTTCACCGAGAGTAGAGGGGGGAATTATATGGGCTGTAGATGTTGAAGGAGTTTGTTGTTGTCCCTCGAAACGGATTTTGGACGGATAAATTTGTGAAATTGGCCCTTGACAGTATGCCGCAATCAGATCATATTATCAACTGTTGAGTGTAGGTCTCCGTCATATGTCACTTTTCAAAGTGGCGTAGGGCAGAGTCTTATACAAAGCAGTCCATCATGTGAATATGTATTCAGAGTAGTTTTGAAAGAGCCTGTTGTAAGATTTTGATCAGGGGGAGAATTTTTTGTGTTTTTTGGATGTGTGCTTCTGAGTGTAGATATGTTAAAATAATGTAACTTTTCAAGGTGACCTCTTCAAAATTCGGGACGTGACTACTTTTACCAAGTAGATACAACGGTTCTGAAATTTGACAGGTCTTTTGTTTTCTTTTCACAAGCAAAATTATTTGTTTGAAATTAGCAAGGGATAGATAGCCTTCACAGAGATCCTTTTTAGCTGCTCTGCTGTTATTTTTTTAGCGTCTCATACAAATAGCCCACTGTTGTCTACAAAACCATGTGACTGGCAGCAGTACTTGAATAATGAGGTGTTTCAAAACCAGCATTTGCCCTGAGACAGAGTTGTACCCCCCCCCCCCATCCCCCAATCCTGTTTAACTTTTTATCCCCGAGGGGGGTAAACCCTCTACGCTGCGGCCCCTCTTTGGTGCTAAATGTAAAAATGACAACAGGTCATTAAATCGAAACTAGCAAACCTATTTTGATAGTTCTTCATCTAATGAATGAACTTCTGGTATAAGAGACCTGTATTTGGCAATTGCTGAAAAGTAATTTGACGTTGAAGTCGTCGTAAAGGAATGTGGTTCGGACTGCGAGCAGCTGGGAGCGACTTGCTGGAGATAAAGAGTTAAAAACAAAAATTACTGAGCCCCAATATTTTTTCAGCAGCATAACTTGTAGTCCGTGAGTTTTTGAGGTGCTGTTTTGTTGTAATCTCTCCTTTTGATCCGTCTAAGCCGTCTATAAGTTTCCCCTTTTTACAAATATAACAACCCAAGATACAGACAATCTGAAGCTTAGATCGTTGTTGTTTGTGGTGATTTAAAAAGTAACTTTTTTTGGGGGGGGGGGGGGGGGGGGTTGGCCTTTTACCAGAATATTTCAATCTAAAGATTTTCTCCCATTATCTTGAGCCAAAACTGAGCTTAGAGTTCTGGATCCTGTCAGTATCATGTTCTTTATAACCCTCTTGTCATCTTCTCCAAGCTTGCGTTTCCCGATTGACCCGATTGGAATACTGAAAAAATGTTAATTTTTGGGCTTCTTTGAGTTTTTCAGCACCGAAACTGAATATATTTTTCTCAGTGTAGCATCATAAAGAGTTTTAATTGTAACTCTTTGGAAATTTTTAACGCCACTGCTCGAGAAGCTTGTTTTGTTTCTGGACCAATAGCTGTACTACTATATCATACTCTTTGCATAGAGCGATGAAACTGGGGGGGGGGGGGGGGGGGGGGGAGAGCTGTCTGTCAATCAATAAAGTGTACATCTCATATTTGCAACAACAGTTTAGTCTACATTTTGCCCCTTTGATAAGTGTGGTCTGGTTGTCCTTGTAAAGTAAAAAATATTTCGAGAAACATAAGAGAAAACTATAAAAAACAATTTAATTCAGTCGATTAATATTTTAATTTCAATCGTGTAGCTTTTTTTATAATAATAATAATAATAATAATAATAATAGATAGCATTTGTATAGCGCATATCCCCGCTCAACAGCAGGCTCTATGCGCTTTACACTCTTTAGAAATTTACACTCTTTAAAAATTTATGCTTAGAATGATCCCCCCCCCCCCCCCCCCCCTGGTGATTACAATTCTACTGCGATACGGAACCTATGCACTTGAAAGTCCTCACTACAAGTTGAGGGGTAATGTGTGATAGGGATGGAGTCACCTCCCAAAAAATTTTTTTGCATGGGCATTTGTCAAATGAGCACGTCAGAAACATAATGTGTCAATTGTAATGTATTGTTGTTCCTGTCGGAGCAGTTCATGTGCAAATCCTGTAAATGACACCAATAAGTTATTTTTTCTCCCTGTAAATAAGCTAGTCCCTTGTGATGTACAGTACTGTATTGCCGATGTGCCTTGTCCCGCTGAAGTGCATAATTCTTTTGAATCTATTCTTTGTTTGTTGTGTTGTTTTGTCATAATTATGGGCCTTCATTCTATGTTGCGTTATGTTTCTGTGTATGTGTACGACGGCCTCAGAGCTGGACAAATCGGAAACGGATAAACCGCTGTCTGTTTGGTCGCTTTTAAGGACAAGCGGGCTAACCCAGATTTCATTTTCAGGGGTTTCCGGAAAACTTGACCTACACCAAAAGTGGGCTTTGCCTGCCCTACCTATAAGAGCAAGTTTTGTTTCATTGGTGTGTATATTTGTTTGGGTGTGGAGAGAACATCCTCCTTGTCTTTTAAAGAAACTGAGCATGGGTCAAAGACTTTACCTTCCATTTTCTCAAAACAGCATCATGTTTCGGGATAGCCCCCTCGTGTTTAAAGGCGACCATATATATAGCTCTTGAGGTCGTGCTTTGTTGGTTTGGATTGGATCAAGTCCTCGTGGGGTCAGCGTTCTGTTCATGACGACGCTGTGTCTATTGCTAGGCTCCCCGTCATGATTGTGTGAGTGAGAGAGGTGGGGATTTCCATGTATTCTTTGTGGGGACTTTTTGGTTAGGATTACTGACTCTAAATGACACGGTAGAGGCTGTCTTCTCTGAGGACTTATTCATAGTCCTTACAGTTTTGTCATTTGCTGGTGTGCTTGAATGGTCAGATCAGATCAGATGTGGGTTGAAATGTCTTATTTACAGGCCCTCAGATCATTGTATTAATTTTTCTTTTCTTGTGTTGTTTAGAAGAGAAGAGAATTGGTCGCTTTGAAGGACAAAATTGGCTAACCCAGATTTTGGGGGTTTCCAGAAATCTTGACATACACTAAAAAAGTGGGTATTGCCCTACTACCTATAGGAGAACTTTGGTTTTATTGGTGTGTATATTTGTTTGGTTATAGAGAAAACTCTCCATGTCTTTTTAAGAAACTGTACAAGGGGCAAAAACTTTATCTTCGATTTTTTCAAAACAGCATTTCTCGGGATAGCCCCCCCTTGTGCTGAAAAGCGACCAATTTAGATGGGAAGCTGGTGGAGTTGAAAGTCTGGGTAGGTTGAAATGAGGAAAAATAAACAGTCAATGGTCCCATCCATATATTATAATGTCTCTGACATTTCCAAACTGATTGTTTTGCCCCACTGGTGAGGAATCTTTTTGTCGCCTGTTTTAGTTTTCGTTCAGGTTGGTGTAGTTCTTTAACATGTCTCTGACGATAGTCACGTAGGACTGACTCTGTCGTCGTTCAGATTGGTGTAGTCCACAGTAGTTCAACATATCTGACCGTGGTGTAGGATTGGCTCTGTTTTCGTTCAGGTTGGTGTAGTTAAGTTCAACGCGTCCGCCCACGGTGTAGGACTGATTCTGTCGTCGCGTGCCCTGTGATTCAAGCACCTCAACTACTGTACTTTTTGATACAACGGCATCTCGTGTGTCTCCGTCTCCGTGTGATGGAGAAAAAAAAAATCCTTTCAGTATTATCTATTATTAAGTGCTCATGTAGTATCCCGGGGAAATGAGCCCTCTTTCACTCTTTCACTTTCACTTCAGCTGTGTACATAAGATAATTTACGCATATATATATATAATCAATCCCATTCCTTGTACACATACAGTGGGCACATAACGATGTTTCTCTTCTAGAGGGAAAGTTGTGGCCGTGACATCATTTGACACTGAAGTTTTAGTAAAAGTAAACTTGAGCTCTATATTTGGTGCTTACTCGACCAAGAACACACCTGTATAAGATCTCCACTCTACATGGGGTCATGATTTAAAATTGAGGCGGTTGGGGGGGAGGGGGGGGGTGTGCGTCGAACTTTACTTTTACTGTACAGCGAAATTCATTGGGACCTTCAGCAGTTGTACTTGCTTTTAAAGGTGGGATACCAACCAATGTCTTTTGATGGGGTGGTGAGCAAGCATACACATCGGGTCTTTGTATGTCGATGAAGTCAAATCTTCTGCTCACCTTTTTCTATGCGGTTCGGTTCTCTTGAATTAGCCATATATATATGCTGAGAAGGATGAGAACAGTTCCACCGATCGTCATTCCTGTTTGCCCTTCAGGGGGAAGTGGTCCTGATCCCCCCAATTAATTTTTAAGCAGTTTGTGTGCATGTGTAGGCTTGTGGAATCTAGATGAATGTATCATTAAATGCAAGTAAATTTTGTTTGTTTTTTTGTTGCTGTTTTTTTTAGTGGTAGAGACGTATGTATGAGAATTGGGAGTGGTGCCCCGGTTATAGAAACATAACGACTCCAGCTTTGGAGCTTGCGGTGATTGATGTGATGGTGTGCAGTTTTAGAACTAGTTCTTGGAGGCTTCTCTCTCTCTCTCTCCGCCTCATTCCCCCCTCTCTCTCTCGCTCTCCTTCCCTCCCTCCCTCCCCCTCTCTCATCCCTCTCTCTCCCCCCCTCCCTCTTTCTCTCTCTCTCTCCCTTCTCTCTCTCTCTCTCCCTCCCTCCCCCCCCTTTCTCTTTCTCTCCCTCCCTCCCTCTCTCTCTCTCTCTCTCCCCCCCCCCCTCTCTCTCTCTACCACTCACCTGCAGGTTATCCCGCCTGTTTGCTGAGTGAGCGGCCGTGACTCTAGGCTTGTGGCTAGGCTTTAGATTAGTAGTGTGTGTTTGCGGAGAGGACACTAAACTTGGGAATTCACGTTTTGAGCTGCGCGTGGATTCATCATGTGTCTCACTCAGTGCCTGTGTTTGATTAGATTTGAGTGTATGCGAGTGCTATATTTGATTTGGGTGTGAATTCACTTGGTTTTTTTTGTGTGTACAAGTTCATATTTTTATTTTGATGTGAGTTGGTCATGTGTTTGATTTGTATTTGAGTTTGTGTGTGGCAGTGAGAATCTCTCGTGGAAGACTTTCCTCAATTTGTGTCATTTAGTTGAGCTGTACTGTAGGTGCCATGCTTGCAAATCGAAAGTTTCTTTCTCCATCACTTGAAAGTTAAGTGAAACCCCCCCCCCCCCCCCCCGAAACCCGGTTTTCTCATTGAAGGGGGGGAAAAAAAGGTTCTTTCACCTTTTAACACCTTGCCATCACAAGGCTCATATATATATATATATATATATATAGTAAAATCCATTGCCATTACAAAGCCAAAGGCATTTTGGGGGAAAATCCATAGAAACTGGGCGGTAAACATTGCCGATCGGCGAGATGTGTGACGGCAAAGTGTTAGGAGGTAGATGTACTTTCATGATCATCTGTAGTAACAGCAGTGTGCATGTTGGAGGTGTGTGGATGATGAAAGTGGCGGGTCTTGTGTTGTGTCTCAAGACTGCTGGGATGGCGAGTGACGACAGCGTCTATATTCTACTTCTATGTGGGAATAGGGGATTCGAGTTTGTGGAATGGCTTGCATTGTTTTACTGTGCATCAGAACATCATTGTCACTTATATAATGCTTGTCTCTCAGTCGAGGCATGGAAGAAAATCCTGTTGAGAAGTGAATGTTGTTTTTTTAAAAAATCCTGATGTCAAGTCGAATTAGTTTCTTTTGTGTGCATGGGAAACCAAGACAGTTATGTAAAATTATTTACAATGTCAAGTTAAACTACACGGACTTATGCAATCTTCACATATTGTCATGTTAGTCAGTGATGATTGGAAAAGAAATTGGATGTTTGTGTGTGTGAAAATGAAAAAGGCAAGAAATAAAACTTTTTTTGTCACACAAAATTCATTAATTCTTTTTGCACGCTCATCATCAAATTTTCAGCAATCACACCAGATTTAAATCAGAACTTGCCTCAAAGTTGCAGTTGCTAAAGCTAGGGCTTTGATAAGTTCAAGTGAAATTAAATGCCTTTTTTTTTTCTTTTTTTTTTTCATTTTATTGTATTGGCTTGAACCTATTTTTTTTTTTCCCAGCTTCTTTTGAGCTCATTTGTTGCGGGCATTTCTGTTTACATCTATCATTATTGTTTAGAAACATTTCGAATTGATGACGTAAATATATATGAATAGTTTCTTCTGATTTCACTTCATTTCAGGAAACATTTTTCCACAAATGACAACATTTTTCCGGTCAGTTCAAAGTTTCCCAATATAAGCGTGTGATTTTCTTTGTCTATACCTGTCTGCAAAGTACTTCCAGGTCGCAGGTCGTCTCTTACTTTTTTTTCCGTAAGACATGCCTCGCGCCGTTCCATGTTCTCGAGTGTAGAATGTCGTCACCAAATGAAACCTATCTGTTGATTTCACGTTTGTTCGTTTGTTTGTTTGCAAGTTTTGTTGTTTTGACGATGCGGAAAGGTAGCCTACTCTGTCTACTGTGTCTGAAGCAAAGGTAACCCGCACATTGTGTCCCCCACCCCCCTTCCTTCCCCCCGGAGTCCCCATGTCCCAGAGTGACCACTTAGCAGTGTGATGTATGTCGAAATTTTTTCCAGTGGTGTTATTATTGTATTGGACATTGGAAGTTAGTTT